ACACGAATTTATAGAAAAGTCAAGTCCCACACCTATATGATAATTTTTGTAGAGATCCGTGCTAACTTTAATAGTGATCATTTGGAGTCTGACACACATAGGTGGGGAGGGTCCTATATGATCATTACTATATATATATATATTAATTTTTTCTTCCTTTTATTAAGCTTATCTAGTAGTCTTTTTTAGTCTATCTAAATCTCCATCCCATAAACCCCTATTTTTTAGATCGCCAATTTGGACCGACACATACCCGCTTTGATCACTAATGCAAAAATATCTATTACATATTTATCAGTAAATGACCGACTGCACTGATTCGAGTTTGAAGCACTGTTGATTCAACAGACTTTAGTTTAGTCATCCAGACTTTGGGGGACAATCCAAATTTTTTTAAAAAGAAAATAATTTCAACCTCAATATATAAAGAAAAAAGTTTATATAAGGTTCCAACTTTAAAATGCAAAATTAAAGATGCATCTAAAAAATCCATCGAAAAAAGTTGTTTTAATTTTGAAAAACCTTCTAATTGATCACTTCGACATGGAGATGTATGAAAATGGAAAAAAAAAAAAATTGATTTTGAATACAAGAAATAATGCATTTTGCAACACATTATCTAGACGGTCCATATGAAACAATAGATTATCAAGCTTACCCCCATAAGCTGGCCCACCATAGTACGTACCATGTACTCAGCTATTTATTATTTTAAAAGGTGTGATTTGTATAAGGCTCATGCTCTAAACAATCAAAATAAATCATACCTTCAAATAATTTTAAAATATGTTGTTTTGGTATTAGAAATCTATATGAGGGCTAAACGTTGTTTTCATTTCTAATTATAAAATTTAAAGAATGAAAAATAGTGTAAATCAAAGAGAAGGATGCGGTTTGTATGGAGCCTACGCTCTAAACAATCAAATCAGAGCGTACCTTCAAATAGTATTGTAGAAATGTGGTTTCATTTTTGGAAATCTTTATGATTGCTTTAAAATATATTTTAATATTTTTTTTATAAAATTTAAAGTTTAAAAAATAGTATAGATTATAGATTATGAAAACGTGAAAATCTTGAAAATTAGCGGTCCAAAATTGTGTTACAAAATATACTATTTCCAAAATTTGAAATCCATTTTTATCTCGTGTCCATGCATCTTGATATCGAGATTATCAATTTGACGACATTTTGGCATCAAAACAACCTCTTGTAGTGAAATTTTTGAGATAAACTCAAATTTGATCATTTAACTTTTCCCATATAAGAATGATTGAAAATCTTGAAAATAATACATTACAAGATGCACTATTTTCAAAACTTGAAATTTATTTTTTCTAGTGTCCATACCTATTGTGGTTTAGATGATCCAATTAAAAAATTTCCGATGTCAAAACAATTTTTGTTTATGAATTTTTAGACGGTTTAAATGATCCAATTAAAAAATTTCCGACGTCAAAACAATTTTTGTTTATGAATTTTTAGACGCACCTTAATTCGATTGATTAGAGCCTCACCCTATATAAACTTTTTTCTATTTGAAGGGTTTGGTAAGGGCAATCTGGACATTTTGACGGAACCTTCAAAGCGTGGTCACGAATATTCGTGGCTCGTGGCCCGTGACAAAACTCATAATCTCCGTGACGACAAAACCGAAGTATTACCTCATCTCCTCCGTCCATCATACTATTGTATCTCACCAACGGGTGAGATCGTTTTACAGGAACTTCCCCCCTCTTTATAAAGTGCCATTTTCTCTCTTCAAAACCAGAGTTGAACTCTGTAAACTGTGGGGTAGAAATCGATTTGGAGGCTTTCGTTTCTTTGAAGAGCTTTTTGTTACGCAATCATGGTGACGATCACGTCTGTTAAAGCTAGGCAGATCTTCGATAGCAGAGGCAATCCAACGGTTGAGGTTAGTTCACTCTTTCTGTGCTTTTCTTCTCTCTATGCTTCCCTCTTTCAGTGGTTTTATTAGATTATGATTTTTTAGGTTAGATTTAGAATCGTATTATTTTGATCTGTGAATTACATTCTGTTTCTTATGAATCTGTTTTAGTTCAGATCCGCTATACTTCTGATTTTTAATGTTGGCATTATTTAGGTTTTGATCTATTTTTTTACATTTTTTTTTTTTTTTTGTACAATTTTCATTTAGTTTTGCATTTTTATTTTGCTTAGCCTTGATTCTTTGGTGATTTATTCACAGCTTTTGTTAGTTTTCGGGTTAGTAGAGTTCTAAGTTGATATACGCAGCCGTTTAACTCTGATTTGAGTATATTGTAAGTCAATACTTCAGTCACAGGGGAAAATGATTTCAGTCACAGGAAAGAAATAATCAATTGAAATAAATTTTGATCATAGCTAAATATGGTCGAGGGTTTATTCTTTTTGAGAGGAAAGAAGATACTTATCCATTAACCGGAGGGAGGAAATATTGAATTATTTTTCAAACAGATATATTGTCTATAAAATTATTATTATTTTGAATAAATTTTCTATAAAATTATTGTCTTTCCAGACAAGAGAAACGAATGATATTCATCTTTTATTTATAGATTTTCACGTTCCTACAAAAATTTGCAAATTTGTTTATTTTGGGCAGAGTAAAGTGAAGTTCCTCTCTGTATTCATGCAATCTTTTTCTGTGATTGCAATGATTTGACATGCTTTGCAAGATCAAACTTTTTATTGTTGTCATGGGTTTTTTTATAGGTTAATGGAATAAATTTATAGTGTGTAACTGTACGATTAGTTGCTTATACTCCCGGTTCTTATGATATCTATGTTTAATTATTTTAACATTATAAAAAAGAAAGAAAGAAGAGATCTCTGTGTTTAATTATTTTTGTAACATCTGGGTATTGTGTGCTCACTTGTTATTCTTTCATTGAGAGTATAAATATTTTGTCTAAGAGAGTGTCTTCATTTTGTCATTGAAGGTGGACGTCGGTCTTTCTGATGGAACCTGTCACAGAGCTGCTGTTCCAAGTGGTGCCTCAACTGGTAATGTCGCTACCTTTGAAGTTGGTTTATATCAATATTTTTCACGAATTCAAATAACTGTTGGCCATTAGCCAGAAAAAGAAAAGAGTTTCATTTCCAATTGTATATGCTCTGCACACCTGTGCTGGCTTTAGTCATATTATTGAAGATGTTAGATCGATTCCCATATCAAGTGGGCTTGAAGGATAAAGGTTCATAGTGGATATGAATTCTGATTGTATCTGCACTTTCTTGTTCCACTTGAATTTCTTATGTTGTAGGATAAGATTACTTAAAGGGAAAATTTCACTTTCTATATGTATTATACGGTAGAGACTGTAGAGAGGTCCCCATGTAAGTGTGCCACTGATTGTGTTCTGTAATTAGCTGCCATTCCAAATTCTGTCTGGATTGCGGAAATAATAGTCTACGATTTTAGATTTTACATTCTGTGACATTGTATTTCTTTGATGTGGTACTTGTTCTGGTATTTTAGCTTTCATAGCCGATTGTCAGTTCATCATTTGGTTTTATCACAAACTGTTAATCTTGTTTTGAAATGGTTTTCGTTTCTTATTGGAAATGAGCATGAAACTAAAAAAAAATAAAAAATCTTATGACTAAATGGACTATTGATCTGGTCTCTCTCTTTGTCTCTAGTTTGGAACATAAGCATAGCTAAGATATTGATACTTGGATAATGGATTATGCTAATCAATAATACAAATCAGCTTTTATTATGTAAATGAAGCAACATAACCAAACCCAATAATCAACAATTCAAGTGCGGTCTCTTGGTTTTTTCCAGCATTTTCTGAGAAGATTTCTTTGTGAAACTACAGCACAACGGGTTGCTACATATATTTTTTGCATTTTCTGATTTTTGAGTCTATGGTACACTGACTTATCTATTTTTTGCCTTGTTAGAGTTCTTATAAGTCTGTTGGTGTCACAGGTGTATACGAGGCATTGGAACTGAGGGATGGAGGATCAGACTATCTTGGGAAAGGTGTCATGAAGGTAAATAGGAGTTTTTTGTGCGAGCATGCTTGATTGCTATTATTTGATAGTTCACTATTAATTGCTCTGGAATTATATATATCAAATTGTATCAAGCAATGGCTACAAACAGAGGTGTGCACCAAAGTGAAAAAAGAAAGGGAAAAAAAAGAAATGCTAATGCTAATTAGGAAGCACTGCATTTTAAATGCACCATTTTGATGAATATTATGTTTTGTTTTTCATAGACAGTAGGCATTCTTAGCTGTGTATGCATGTGTGGCCATGAGTGGCAGTATGGGTGCTCATTGTTGGATAGCCCCATTTCACTACTCGGTCCTATAATGGAAATTAGATCCATAGTCCGCTTCTTGTTCAATCTGCTTTTCTTATTTAAGCTGATATCAGCTAACCGGATGCTTTATTTTTCCTTTCTTCAACGTAGGCTGTTGGAAACGTCAACTCAATCATTGGACCTGCACTTATTGGAAGGGTGTGTCACATGCTTCTCTATTTTAGCTGACATGGGTTCTTTGATGCCTTCATTTATTTCTCTTTAATAACGAGATTTCCTTTATTTGTATATGCCTATATGTGTTTTTGATATGTGCCTCTGCATTATTCTTTTGTGTCAACACAGGACCCAACTGAGCAGACCCAGATTGACAATTTCATGGTACAACAACTTGACGGAACAGTAAATGAATGGGGTTGGTGCAAACAAAAGGTATCACAATTGGCACATTGGCCATATTGATGACACAGTTAAGCTTTCTCACATTTATATGTGATCAGTAATGCTGAAGTTTTTTTTTTTTGGTTGTTTATGATGCCAGCTTGGTGCAAATGCTATATTGGCAGTATCTCTTGCTGTTTGCAAAGCTGGTGCCAGTGTGAAAAAGATTCCTCTTTACAAGGTAAAAAAAGGGTTAATGGTATAGAGAAAGTACTATGCCACCTGAATTTCAAGAAGAAAAATAAAAGAAAAAAAGAAAGAGAAATACTAGTTTGCTCGTGTTCATTCATGGGGTTTCTTTCCTCTGTATGTATTTTTCAGCACATTGCCAACCTTGCTGGCAACAAAAACTTGGTTTTGCCTGTACCTGCCTTCAATGTTATCAATGGAGGATCACATGCTGGCAATAAGCTGGCCATGCAGGTGTTGTTACCTTACCCCCTTATGTGTACAAAATTGTTCCTTTACTATAAGCTGCTTTTAGATATTTGAAGAATTTGGTGTACTTCTCTTAGTTAACTAACACTGGGCCTCTTTTTCCCCTTCTCTAGGAATTTATGATCCTTCCTGTTGGGGCCTCCTCTTTCAAAGAGTCCATGAAGATGGGTGTAGAAGTATATCATCATTTGAAGGTTGTGTTCTATCTCTCACTCTTTTCTCTCTGCCTTTATTGGTGTATTTTTGTGACCCATATTCTCACTTCCTCTCTAATCCTTTCAGGCTGTTATAAAGAAGAAATATGGTCAGGATGCCACAAATGTTGGTGATGAAGGTGGCTTTGCTCCCAACATTCAAGTGAGTAGCTATTTAGTGGTCAAACTTTTTTCTGTAACAATTTTCTGCAGCTTATGTTAAAAGAGTCCAAAAGATTGCTAAAATTTGTACTGTATAAATATTAATTACCGTCTATTGTGACAATATATTTGCATGCTTGTGTGTGGATATGCACAGTTAACCGCTAGATTTGCTAATGGGTTTTAAGTTTGTCACGCATCATAATTTATCAAAGATTAATACTAAAATCTAAGAATGCAGGAAAACAAAGAAGGCCTGGAGTTGTTGAAAACTGCTATTGCCAAAGCTGGGTACACTGGCAAAGTATTTGTCTCTAGCCCTATACCTCTCTTTCTGTCTCACACATGTTGCTACTACCCTTACTGTGCCTAAGTGTACTGTCTTTCTGGCAGGTTGTGATTGGCATGGATGTTGCTGCGTCAGAGTTCTATGATAGCAAGGATAAAACGTATGATTTGAACTTCAAAGAGGAGGTAATTGGGATCTCTAGCGTTATTTCTGACATCCTAGCATGCACTTGATGCCTAAGGTTGGAATACATTAGCAAGTGAAACTTTTTGATGGAATAATTACTATTACAATGAGAGGACTTCATATTGAATTTATGTACTTGGTTTTTGAATGGAAACTGTAACACGTATCATATAGTGTGAACTTTGTTAACCTGCACCAGAACTCTCCGATGAAACCACCTCTGCCATTTGATGCAAATCATTTTTGGGTGGGTAATTTATGGGCCTCTTTAATATGATCCATATGGTCATCATAACAGCATGATTTAGAGGTTATCACCATTCCTTCAATGGGCTAGACGGTGGAGAGTGTGGTCCCACCTGAACGATGTCATTTACTAATCTGTATGGCCACTGTCCCTCCATCACTGTCGAACTCATTTGCCTGGAGGGTGCTAACCCACATGTTGCTATATCATATTGAACTAATGGCTTATACTATGGCTTTCCATAATTCTTCTTCATTTACAATGACAAAAATAAAAAGTCCCCTGCAAAGCCACTGTCATTTACTTTCGGTTAGCATGATTTGTCACATTAATGTCATCCTTAATGGAACATGAAATACATGTCCGTGATGGCTATGCATGATATTTCCAATTTTAACCCAACTCTGACAGATCCATTTTACGAAAATGAATCCTACTCAAGAAATTGGCTTGCATCATTAGGCCAGGATAGCATTCGACCAAGATAATCGCTGCTTCTCTGCTTGTTTTTCACGTTAAAAAGATACACGTTCACAAATCCCTCAGTGAATTGAATGTAAAATACACATAAAATTTTGCTTGGATTTGTTGAGTTGTTCTTAGCCGATCCTAAATAGTTGGGATAAGGGTCGGATGATGATGATTTTGTTGAACTGTTCTACTGATACGCACTTCTCATGGTTCTTTTTTTTTGCAGAACAATGATGGTTCTCAAAAGATATCCGGAGATCAACTTAAAGATCTCTACAAATCATTTGTGGCTGAGTACCCCATTGTTTCCATCGAGGACCCCTTTGACCAGGATGACTGGGAACACTACAGCAAACTAACGGCTGAGATTGGCGAGAAAGTGCAGATTGTCGGGGATGATCTCTTGGTCACCAACCCTAAGGTCTCTCTCTCTCTCTCTCTCTCTCTCTCTCTCTCTCTCTAGCTAGTAAGGATAAGAAATTGATGGTGTCTCGTGTTATGTGTAACTCTTGCAGCGTGTGGAAAAGGCTATTAACGAGAAAGCCTGCAATGCCCTTCTGTTGAAGGTATGATTCATATGGCATTTTTGGCGAGTGGTATATGTGATTAATACATTTAGTATGGTTTCATGTTTTTCTTATTTAATTTGTTTGGGTTATTACAGGTGAACCAAATTGGGTCAGTGACTGAGAGTATTGAAGCTGTGAAGATGTCCAAGCATGCAGGTTGGGGAGTTATGGCCAGCCACAGGAGGTTTGTGTTCAGAACCTTTGAGGGCTAGATAGTTCATGAATCTTAGTTTTTGTTATCACTTATAGAAATACGATTGTGCTCATCTAGAGTGTAAAATAGATTATTACTGATATGCTATTGCCATTGTGAACAGTGGTGAGACCGAGGATACTTTTATTGCAGATCTTTCTGTAGGATTGGCCACGGTATTGAAGCTTCCCCCTATTGCCAGTTGTGTGTGTGTGTGACAGAGAGAGTGACTGACAGACTTTTTAGTATTCCCCTCATTGCCAGGTTGGTGTTGGTGTAGGTGTAGGTGTGGGAGGTGGGGGGTGAGGGGTTGGGTATGCGTGTTTCTGTGTGTGTGTGAGGAGAGAGTTTCTAGTATTCCAGCACTACCGAGTGATCTCTCCACCAATCATTTCTCATTTATTTGGTATGGGTTGCTGATGGGCATGTGTGGTTTTGCAGGGCCAGATCAAGACTGGAGCTCCTTGCCGATCTGAGCGCCTTGCAAAATACAACCAGGTAAAGAGTTCGAGTTTAAAGATTACAGCCATTCTGCATCTGATTTTGTTTTGCGAGTCGAGGGTTGCAATGATTATCGTTATTGATTCTATCTGTTATACATATTGTTTTGGCTACAGCTTCTTAGGATTGAAGAGGAATTGGGAGCTGAAGCAGTCTATGCTGGAGCAAATTTCCGAAAGCCAGTTGAGCCTTACTAAATCTAAAAATAATAAATCTTTTTGCATCGCTTTCTTTGAGGGCATTCATAATTTTTGCTTTGCTTGAAAGAACTATATCTGTCTACTGCGGAGAGTGAACTGGTGTTTAAATAATAATAAATGATCAGGATGCAAATACTGTGATGACATGTTGAGTGGGTCAGTTATGGACCCTGGGATTTTTGGACTGGGCTTTAAAGCCTTTCTTGTCTATTTTAATGAATCACTGTTGATTCAAGTGGAACTTCTCAGCTACTGTGCTTAATATTAGAATTTTAAGGCATGTTTGGATTATTTATCATCGTTGTTGATACACTGTTTCATTAAAATTAATCGCGATAATGGTTGTCACCGTCCATTTAGGGGATATTTGGTGATGTGAACTTTTGAAGACCAAAATTTTCAGTTCGATATGGCAGTTTCTGGTTTAGCAATTGGAAATCATATGGTGAAAGAAAGTTGAAATTTCTTAAAAATGAGAAATGTGTACTCACTCCTGGAAGATTCAATTTATCCAATAGAAGACTAAATTTACAAAAAATTGATAGTGGATTTCTTTTTTTTTTTTAGAACTAGTTTGTTATTTTTAAAATGTGAGATATTTCTTCGTTCACTCATATTTTTCTGAAATTTGATTGAGATGAAATTTGGAGTATGTGCCTCTCACTGAGGTGTATATCTCAAAAATATAAAAACAATATTTTGGCGAATTAGAATAAGCAAAATGCCCTTCAAAAAGTTTCATAGCATTTTGGTGTCATATTTTGCTACATGGATATTCAAAATTTTATCTTATTTATATAAAAAAAATCTAGAATTGAAATATCTAAGACTGTAAATCTCGAATTTAAATATCTAAGACTGATCCGACAGTTGAGGATGATGATCATGATCCGACAGTTGAGGATGATATCTTTTTAAGTAAACCATAATGCGGAGGTTTAAGAACGATTTGCATTCTAAAATATTTTTTTGATAATTTTTTTTTAGTTTAAGGTTGAGAGGCACTGATGCTCAAAATTTTAGCTCAATCAAATATATAGAAAACAAATAAAAATTGAAATACATATACATGCTCTCCTCACCAGATCTATGCGTATATTTTGAATTTGTTTTTTTCAAATTATTCTTTCTAAACTTTTTACGTGTATAATGGGTAGAAATAATAAACTCGCAAAAATTTAGTTCAATTCAAAATACACAAAAAAAAAAAAAAAAAAAAAAACCTCAATACCATCATCTCATCTCAAAGGTTCTCTCTTTATGTGGTCTAGATTATTTATTTTGTTAAGACCTACATTTAAAATTCTCACTTATTTAACACTGCCACCATATCATTAACAAAAATGTCGATGAACAATTAAAATCCCAGTTAAGAATATCCCATGCGAATCGCGGACAATTTTGTAGAATCCTCAAAATTCCACATAGGTTAATTAAATACATTATATCAAGAACTGAAATCTTTTGATTCTACATTTCAAAGTTAGAAACTTCCAATTTTGACTCGAACTTCTAGTCACCAAATGCCCTTAGGAATTCCAAAAGTCTTACCAACTCTCGGGGAACTATCCAAAACCACCTTTTTCAGCTTCCTTTTTTTTTGCTTTCATAATCATTCAGATTTCGACAATTCTTTCAAGAAAATGAAAATCCATTCATTTCACAGGAAGTACTGAACTATTTCACAAAAACTTCAACTGATCTTTGGTCTCCAAAGTCTAGTTTGAAAATGGTGCAAAGTAGTTAACGGACTTGATTTCACATTCGTCTTTTTTAACCTTTTATTTTGCCATGTTCAACTGACTCGGCAATTTTACATTCTTTGCAATCATAAAAATGTATCATATCCATTTTCAAGAAAAAAATCAGTTGATAGTATTTGCAGAAAGAATATGGATATAATTTGGAAGATAATTCCCGACTTTTCTTTTTTTTCTAACCTTTTCGGGCAACTAGGATGGAATTGGCAAGGCAACTCTGATAGTCAGGTATCTGAGTCAGCACTCAGTTTCCTGCATTTTGAATGCTGGTTTTGATGATTGAGAGCGTTTATATGCATACAAGATTCTGCTAGATGCTTGCTTTTTCTTGCGGGCTCAGAGATTTCTTGAGTTTCTAGAGAGAGAGAATGACCACATTAACCCCTCTGCTCTAAGGATGGGAGGGGATGGGGAAGCTCAAACAACTACAGGGGGCTAGCCAGAATTGGAGGGGTAACGAATAACTCAAGCAAGTAAGCAACTGTGGGGATAACAAGAATGGGAGGGGAATGGAAAACTCAAAGAACTAGAGATGGAAGGAGAGGCAAAACCAAGCAACAACGGGAGCTAGCCACAAATCGACACGATGACAGACTGAGTTTTCAAAAAAATCCAAGCAATTGTAGAGAGAGAGAGAGAGACCCAACCCAAAGTACTGAGATTCTAATCTCTTGATAAGAATACACAAAAACCATGACACCATCTCTAATGCACGCTTCCTTTCCATTGCTGTCTTCCAGAAAAAAAGAAGCATCATATAAAAGACAACAATACAAAGGATTAATAGGTTCAGGGAGCATCAGATAAGTTATACAAAGGTGGCCAGGCTTCCCAAGCAATCCCAGCTACCAATTTGGAGCCAAATATAAATACTGAAGCAACTTCCTGGTGGTCACAAGCACACCTACAAACACACACAATAAACAAACAATATGAGTAAAATGAAGAATAGAAAAATGGTTCTTATACATTATGGTATTGTATTCTATAAGACTCTTTACCTTTGGTATAAGAGGTCGCAATCACCCATATGGCCATCTGATGTGGAATTGTGTAAAATATCTATTCTCAGACTTTGTGCCACTCTGTTTCGCATCCGATGGCTAGGGATGCTTGTAACCTTCTTGCGCCAAAGGCAAACAGTCTTATCGTATAATATACCCATGTTATACTACTATAATATACCCATGTTATACTACTGCATGCCATGCATATGACACATGTAGCTAAGGGCATTACTTACAAAGGAGAATGTCATGGAAGTGGTAATCAATGCCGACTAATCATCATCTAGAACAGAGAAAACCATCCTGTTGATGACAAGATCAAGTACTAATCAACTCCAACAACCACCAATCTCAATCCAAAGAACAAGGAATCATAACTCAGTGATTGGGCCTGGTATGTCTGTGCAAGTATATTTAGTTGCGCTCTCTCTCTCTCTCAACTCAGTGGTTGAACCTTTGTGCGTTTGGGTGCCTGCATGTGTATCTGACTGCTTTGTGTGTGTGTGTGTCTGAAAATTTAGTCAATGCTGACTCTCTCTGTAAAAGTACATATAGTTAGCTCTATGGGTTCAATAGTGAATATGGTGTCTGTGCATGCACATGCATTTAAAACTAACCACTTCTAGGTCTCAATGATATGAGAGGGGGACTATGTGCGCATGTGTGGAATGTGCATGGAAGTGTCATCTCTTCAAAGGGTCCAAATGTAATACCCGAATATCGTAGAAACAAGGACAATAAATAAATACAAAAGCTTGAACAGCCGCCGCTTCTTTTCCCGCTTGAGAAGATTAAAAATCTCAGTCACGTCTATCAAGTGCTGCTTCAACATATACCTGACATCACACCATAGAATCATACGAAGAACTTGCCACTAGAAGGCAAAAATAGAGCATATCTTGACAGCCTAAAATTGTGATCCAAATTTAATGGATTTGGCCATTTTTGTAGGATCAGCTTTGCCGCCAACACCCAGAACATATTCCAAGTGCACTTATCACAGTTTCTTCCCAAGCAAACCCCAACATGCATAACAAGTAGAGTCCTACTACTGACAATTGAAAAAAGAAAAAAAAAAAAAAAAAAAGAAAGAAAAAAAGAAAGAAAAGAAAACACTACTAGAGGCTCATATGCATGACTAAAGCCGTAACTGAGAGTTCAGACCCCATAAGATGATAAGACCAACCAAATAGACAGTTTGAAGCACTGGAGAAACAGCTATAGACCATCTCCTTACTGAGGATTTATTATTACAGGACCTCAAAAGTCCTGCAATCCACAATATAAATTTGACATCAATGTGTGTAACCAAAGCAAGCAGCGTCAAAAAGCTCACTCTCTGTGAGCGAAGTAAGCTATTCATCTCTATCTAAGCAAAGAAAATATGGCTTACTACTAAGCTGCACTTACTAAGTCAGCTTAGCGCTATCTATACAAGTGAAGTCGCCTCTATGTATTTGATCTTTATTTCCTAAAATGAGAACCATTGGCACTAATCAGGATTCAAATACTCGGTTGAGTCCACACAGACTTGACCGAGTACTCGAACTCAGCCCTTTGCCAAGCCGAATACTTGGTAAAACTCGGGTAAAATAGAAAAAAAAGACGTAAAAAACCATAAAAATTATAATTTGCTAACAATTAATTTTTTTAAGTCTCTATAAGATATATATATATATATATATATTATTATTATTATAGAAGCAACACTGAATACAAAAAATGGCACTGGTGAGCGCACATTGTACAACCAACAAACTACATATAGAGAAACCAAACCAATTAGACCCATGTACAAAAAGACTGATAAGGTTCCACCCAAATCCGGGATTGTAGCTCTCTCCTTTGCTAGTGCATCTGGTCTACAGTTGGCCTCCCTCCAAGTATGCCGAAATGAGGCGTGAATACCACAGCAAAGGAATGAAATATGATAAAAGAATCCACTGGAGGCGCCATGGGCAGGTGGAACCACTGGAAGCCCAAGCAATGACGTTTTCTGAATTGCCTTCTACGATCAAAGATTCCCCCTTGTGATAGTTGAATCTCTTTATACCTTTAAGAAGAGCTAGCACTTCTGCGAGAGTTAAATCCACTAAAGCTGAGATGACCAGAAAGAGAGGAGAATGTTGCGAGTATGATCTCTGAACAGGTCCCCATAACCTGCTGGCCCTCAAAATTTAGCTTTATCTGCTTGGCTTCGGGAGGCCTCCATAATGATGAGCAAGGGATCCTTGCCGGTCTAAGAGTCAAGATATTTGCCCTAGTTGTTGAGGAAATAGGAGGAGGATAGGCCTACAAGAGATGGTGGTTCTGGGCTCAAAGAATGACCATGCTTCTGATGTGTTCAAAGAGAGTCGAGGGATTGGCTTGCTTTTTTTGGAATGTGTTAACCTTGAATTAGTAAAAGAGAGAGTGTACAAGAAACCTTGGCTGACCACAAAAAAGAGGGGCTCAAGGTAAGGTAAACCAAAAAGAATCAAAATCCTCATTTAGGAGGTTACAGTGATACACGGCAACCAAGAAAAACAGGATGATTCATAATTCCACAAAAAAAGGCCACCGAAAACCCAAAATGTAAAAGGTAACTAGCCTTGCACCATTGCTGCTGCTTCTTTAGCTAGGAGTCGGCTTCTTGGTTTCCTTCCCTCCAAGAGTGCATCCACAGGACGGACATATTCCTGCAAACGAATTCAATCCCATAAAAAAGGTGTGCCAAGAACCAAGGCGGAGGAGAGGAAGAGGTGTGCTGTGCCCAAGAAATGGTATTCTTGGAGTCTCCCTCCATGACGAGAGAGGTCAAGCTAAAAGGTTGGGATAGCCTAAGTCCTTCTAAGAGGGCCAAAGCTTCTGCCTCCATAGAATTGGCGTGCCCAATGTTCTTTGAAACTGTAGCCAGAGAGGTGCCAAGGTGGTCTCTGAGAATGGCCTGAACCCCAGAAGGGCCGGGGTTCCCCAACGAGCACCCGTCAAAGTTGAGCTTAAGCTGGCCTGGTGGTGGGGGTTTCCACCTCGAAGCTCGCGGCAATCGCGTGCTGTGGTGTTGGAGGACACTGCTCCAATCTTGGCTAAGGGCCAAGGCTGAGACGCCTTTGAAGCATGGCTGATTTGTTGCCCAGAAAGTTAAAGTGGATTTGAGCTTGTTGAAGACCTCAGTCCAAGGTGAAAAATCCCCCCGGAAAATTCTGTTGTTGCGCTCAACCCATAATGCCCAAAAAGTGGCTGCAACCGTCGTTCTCCACAACAGAATCCCTACCTTGAGCCAAGGAAACGGTTGGATGGAAGAGAGAGTGGATATCACCTCTGCCGGTAACACCCACTGGATGTTGAAGAGTTTTAGAATAGCCCCCCCAAAGATTGAAAGTGAAGGGGCAGTGCAATAGTTGATTGTTGGTCTCTTTTGCTTCCAGGCACAAAACACATCTATTAGGCAAGGCAAAGCCTCTTCTTTGCAATTGATCTACCATGAGAACTCTTTGAGAAAGAGCCAGCTACATGAAGATCTTGATTTTGGGTGAAGCGAAGGAGTTCCATGCCAGGGCCGCGATGGCGTTAGGGGCCAGAGGAAGAGTTGGAGGAAGAGATAAGAAGAGGAGACAAAGAAAATCCCAGAAGGAGACAGAGATCAGAGATCCGACCCCGAGGGGGCTAAGAAGTAAGCCTGTAGTTCTGCCGACAGAAAAGCAAAGTGCTCAAGTTCTAAGTCAGATAAAGGCCTTCTAAAATCGGGGCTCCAAGAGTGTAAAGGGCTGGCTGGAAGCATCTCATAGGGCTGGCTGGAAGCATCTCATCGTCTACCATTGAACTTTGGTTTCTGTCCAGGGAGAATAGATCAGGAAATCTGTCCCTCAAAGGTGCGTGACCAAGCCACGAGTCCAACCAGAAGAGAGTTCGATTTCCGGCCCTTGGGTGAAATCTGATGCGTGTTTGAAAAGCATGGAAAGCCGAACAAATCGACTTCCACATACCAGAGGACCTTTGGGTCGACCTGCAATTAGGTAGACAAGAAGAAGATTGAAGATGATATTTGTGATTGAGGATGTCAATCCACAGTTCATTGTTAAGGGTCGAGAGGCGTCATCACCAGTTGCCGAGAAGTGCCATATTGTGGGTTCTAAGGTTTTTGATCCCTAAGCCACACCTACATTTGGTCTGACACAGTTTGGTCCACGCAATCAAGTGCAATCTGTTATTGAAGTCATCTCCCGACCAGAAGAACCTTGGCTTAAGCTGCTCAATTCTAGAGCTAACCGCTATCGACATGTTGAAGATGGACATGTGGTAGACCGGAATGTTGGCCATCGTCGCTTTGATCAGAGTTAGACTGCCTCCTGGGGAGAGAAAGCGTCCTTACCAACCCACAAGTTTGCGGTCCACTTTGTCTACGATATGGGACCAGAGCCTAAGCTTTGGTTTGCCTAAGCACAGAGGAAGGCCAAGGTATTTGGAAGGTAAAGTTTCTACCCCCACACCCACAACTGTAAGCGTAGTTCGAAAGGGTAGATGAGTCCACGTGGATACCCATCATTTTGGTTTTCTCAAAGTTGACCTTGAACCCTGTAGCAAAATCAAAGCACCGAAGGAACAAGAAAAGACTGAATTTCCGATGGATCAGAATTGCAGAAGACGAGGGTGTCGTCTGCATATTGAAGGTGAGAGACGACTGGGGCACGGGAACCCATAGAGAAGCCGTTCAGGAGGCCAGCCGAAAACATTATGGAAATAGAGTGACTAAAGACCTCGGCCGCAATTGCAAAGAGAAAGGGGGAGAGTGGGTCTCCTTGTCTAAGACCTCTAGTGGAAGAAAAATAACCTTTGGGAGTGTCGTTTATAAGGATAGAGAAATATGGGTGACAGAAACAAGCTCTCATCCATTTTCTCCATCTGACCTCGAAACCCATTCTGGATTGGGTTTCTTCGAGGACTTCCTAGACTATGTGATCGTAGGCTTTTTCCTAGTCTAGCTTTACGACTACAACTGGTTCTCCAGCTAGGTGTCTTGAATGTATGCATTCATGGGCTACTAGTGCCCCATTGAGAATTTGGCGATCTTTGATGAAAGATTCTGGGAAGTCCTCGAAGATCTTGTAAGAGGAGTTCCGGGAAGTCCCCTTGAGAGGGGGAGATCCGTGGTGACCACAAATAATTGATGATCTAGTTATGAAGGGTATAGACCAAATACCTTTTTTTTTTTTCCTGTTATTATTTTTCCCTGCCTCAATTCGGTATTAGATAGAGCCTTAAGATTCGTAGTGACCAAAATAACTGATGATTATAGAGCGTATAAATCAAATATTTGAGCGATTGGATAAAACTTTTGAGAGACTCGAAGAAGACATAGTAGAACGCATTAGCAAAGTAATAGAACAAGATCTACGAGATCTATTTAGTAGACTGCAGCAAGAGGAAAAAGAATATGAAGAGGCAGATCTCGATGCAAAAGACGATGTTAATAGTTCAAATGTGAAAGAAATTTCAAAAATCAATTGTAAAAAAAAAAGATACGTGTGTTGCAGCTTTTGAAATACTACCCTGTGAGCTTTAAGGAGAAATCAAGATTTTGTTTGGTATTCCAGAGCTTGGTGTTTCAAACTTCCACTACAAATCGTGTTGAATCAATTGTTTATTTGAAGAAGAAAAAGTACTTAGAAGAATGTCGAAACTGTATCACCAACTTTTGAGAAGGCCTCTAAAATATTTGAGTTCTATAAGTTCAAGGTCAAGCTTCGCCCAACCTGGGGAGAATGATGCAAATAAAAATTAGGGTTTTTTAATTTTTTTATATTATATTTTTTTAAATTTTAGAAAAGGTGTTATTTGAGATTTTAGTTTTCTTTAG